ACCCAATGAAATATGATGGCTTGTGTGGCTCATAATCACGGGTCTGCCGATTATTTTCGGCACCACTAAGTTATTAGAATATTTAATTTTAGCACCAGAATTGTGTGATCTGCTAACACTCGTACATTATGGAAAGTATTTTAGAACAACAACGTAAAGCCCACGAAGAGATCGAGCGACTGGAACAAGCCATAGTGGACCAGTTTATGAGAGATCCAAAATCAGTATGTAACGAACATCAATTTTCGACACGTCAAGACTTGCACTTGTACTGATTGACTCCCATCTGCTAAAGCATAAGGAACGGTTAACAAGGGAGCATCGTGTAAGCGATTTTCTTGACAGGATCAGTTCACGGAGTAAGTTTCTCTACGAACTTTACGATGATTCTGATGGGTAAGTTCGGTGATGGTTTTATTTTCCGCCCTTTGTCGATATGCTGACCTCTCTCACTTCAACTAGAGCCCGTAAAGCTGAAATAGATGCTTTGTCTGGCTCTTCAGAATTCAGTGAGTTTTATGCGAGACTAAGAGCTATAAAAGACTACCACAGACGGTATCCTAACGAAACAGTCGAGCCGCTAGAGTTGGAGTTTATAAATCAAGCCAAGCAGAGCAACGAGGATGATGACCTTGATAAACTATTTTCTGGTGAAGAAGCCTTTGGTCGATTCTTGGATCTTCATTCTCTTCATGAGAAGTATGTTAATTTGAAGGCTGTGAAGAAGTTGGATTATTTAAGTTATATAAGTGAATTTGATCATTTTTCTGAATATTCCAAAGAATACAAGAACGGCGAATATGTTGAGTAAGTTGAAGACGGCTAATGGGCTGTTGGGATATTTTTTCGTAGACTGCACATAGGCTGTATGATTTGATTGTTTATATGCCATTCCCTTGTACCCGCAACCAACTTGCTTACAGGTATTTAATCGAGTTAAAGGCATATCTAGAAGGCTTCTTTGCTCGGGTAAAACCACTCTCTAATTTAGATGAAATACGCAAACAAACAGAAAATGAATTCAATGTTCGATGGCAACAAGGCAAATTCCCAGGATGGGAACGACAAATCGGTCAAGACGAGTTGACGAGTGATTTATTCTGCGTTGCCTGTACGTACTGTTGTTTTTTTCCTCTCCTAGTTAGCGTTGTCTGTCTACCAACCGTCGCAAAGTAATTAATTACGTAGTATGTCTCTGAATATGTTAATACAATAGGTCGTAGATCATATGCTAAACGAACAGTGTACGACGCTCATTTGAAGAGTAAGAAGCATATCAAAGCAGCTAAAGCAATGATGGAACAGGGTGTTGTCGAGGTGGATAATGAAATGCGAGAGAAATTGCGGAAACAGACTGAAGACGAGAAGGAGAATAAGGAAAGACAGACTGCATTTACCGAAGCGCTAATACAGAAATATGCCGAAATACTTGGAACACAACGCGAAGATACTAAAGCCAATGTAGAAAGGAAACGAGCGTTGACTGATAGAGAACGCAGGGTGAGTTAGTACAATTACGCGCGCGCGCGCGCGTTGGTGTACGATTGGGTAAAAAGATTATTAATTTCGTCATATCGGACTAACTCTTTGGCCTACTTGTAGATGGAATTGGAAGCTGAAGAAGTTGATGACGTTGAGAGTGAGAGCGAAGATGAGGACAAAATATATAACCCTCTTAAGTTACCGCTCGGATGGGATGGAAAGCCGATTCCGTATTGGCTATATAAATTACATGGATTAGGCGTAGAGTATCCGTGCGAAATATGTGGGAATTATGTTTACATGGGACGAAAAGCATTTGATAGACATTTTCAGGTGAGTACAAGATATCGATGCAATCTTTGTCTATGTTCAATGATAACCACTTAGTTCTATTTTATAATCAGGAGTGGCGACATGCTCACGGAATGAGGTGTTTGGGTATTCCGAATACTCGACATTTCCACGAAATAACATTGATAGAAGACGCATACGCATGTAAGTGTTGATCAAAATGAATATTACTGCTAACACTATTCATATCAACTAACCCTCTATTCAACCACAGTATGGGAGAAGCTGAAAAGCACAAATAAAATGGACGAATTTAAAGCTGATACGATGGAAGAATTTGAAGACGACGAAGGAAACGTATTTAACAAGAAGACCTACGATGATTTAAAGAGACAAGGATTGATTTAACTAATAATAAAGATACATTTAAATGAATATTGTAAAATATAGAGATTAACGCTGCTGTCGAAGAGCTTCAAATATCTATGAGGATGGGAGGTGCAGTTGAAGATGAGTTACTCGATTCACATTACGAAGGTTGTAGCAATACGTCTACTAAAATTGTAACGCTTTTCGTTACGTGAGGAAATAATCAACACATCGTTCATGCAGAGACATGAGCAAGATGAGTACTGGGTACCTGACCGCAGATTTTTCCATTGTAATCAATTTAATGTCAACGTATCCCATCTCGATAATATCCAAATTCTATTAAACGTCTTCACTAGGCCACATTAACATAACCAAATTGTAAAGCCAGATTTATGTAGAATAAAGAAAAACGATGCTGGTATGAACATGCTAACGTGAGATTTTATTATGTAAATTGTTACGTAGTATATTTAGTATGTCATAAACTTTTTGAGACCAGGTTTTCCTCAACCATCAACAATGATTGGCGATGAAATCGGTTTAAACGACAAATTGTATATAATATCACGCTCTAGAGAGTACGTGGCAAAGACTTGACTTCGGTCTTTGTTCTATATAACAATATTTATGATATACGGTACGTGGATACGAACAGTTACATAAAGGGACCATACCAATAAGTCAGATATCGAAAGTTTTAAAAAGTTCTTTGGACCAATATGTTGCTAGTTAGACCCTGTGCTTTACAATGCGAGCCTGTTGAAACACCCCCCAATTCCAAGATCGTGAAACGATAAGTTAGTGGTACATTGCTCTGCATTAGATACAAAATCTCATTACTGAAGTTTTGCGTCCTTTTATTAGATAAAATCTCTTTACTGAGCCTGACCTGCTTATTAGTTTATTATATCCATTACTAACAATGTCTCAAATGACCAAGGGTTCGTACAAAGAATGGTTTGATAAGAACATTCAAGAAGGTGACATCCCTTGCTGCACAGAAAGTGATATCGAATTAGACCCTCTACAAATTGGCCATGGAGCATACGGAGTGGTTTATAAAGCAACGATAAAAGAGGAAAGTCGTTTTGGAAACATTGTCAAAACAATCTTGGGTAAGAAACACAACATCTCTGGTATTACTGTTGCGGTGAAAACATTGTTTCCTGATGAAAACAGCAATTGTGAAGAAGATTGGCGTCGACATTTTGTCAAGGAGGTTGCTATTAATTACCAGTCGTTGTTCTGTCCCATTCATATTATGCATGGACTAATTTTTGATGCAAACATTGTATGTTAGCTAAAACATCACAAGCTTGTGAACAATCACCCGAACATTATTCGGTTTGTCGGTCTATATAACGGTATGTTGCAAATAGCAATTTCGTTGATTGACACAGATATTTACTTTTCTCACGTTTTAACACAATAGACAAATATGACAATTATCATATGATTTTTGAACTAGCCGATGGCGGAACTTTGCGTCAACACTTAGCGAAACACTTCAATGGTTTAACTTGGAAAGACAAATACAAATTAGCTCTAGGAATTACCAGTGGATTGAGACATTTACATGCGCATGATATTGTTCACAAAGATTTGGTATTTGTCAAGTTTGTTCGGATTGTTTGGATGAAGTGCTGTTTGAGTTATTTACACATGTTTGTTTTTATCTAGTCTTCTTGTAATATTCTTATTCAATCGGGAGTTGCAAAGATAACCGACTTCGGTTTATCGAGTGTCTTGCAACAAATAATGACAACATCACACGGTGATGGCACACCCGCATACAAGGATCCCATGTCATTTAAGGACGAGCCATATAGACGCCGAAAGAAATCTGATATTTTTAGCCTCGGAGTGATACTTTGGGAAATTTCTAGCGGAAAAATTCCGTGCGAAGGCCGTATTGAAAGTGTTAGAATTATCTTGTATAGGAACAATGGCTTTCGCGATCCCCCATTTCCTGGAACACCTGAGGAATATGTTAAACTGTATTCAGAATGTTGGGATGATGACCCTGATAAGCGGCCCTTGTGTGAGAATGTTTATGAGAGATTGAAGTGTTGTGATGCACTATTACTATGCGATTTCAGTACATCATTGGAAAGTGAATTAAACAATGCATGGGCATCAAGAAATAGGGAAGCTGCCTATTCAGATATAAAACAATATACTAATTCCTTAGATGATTTCAACAAATCATTGGAGATTGAACCAAATAATACTGTTGAATTGAGAAATGGAGAAGCTATCCATCTAAAACTAAAACACTATGACAATGCATTAAAGGATTTCAACAAATTGTTGGAGATTGAACCAAATGATGCAGATGCATTGAGGGGAAGAGGAACTGTCTATCTAAATCTTAAACAGTATGACAATGCATTAAATGATTTCAACAAATCATTGGAGATTGAACCAAACAATGCCTTTACATTGGAAAATAGAGGAGCTGTCTATCTAAATCTTAAACAGTATGACAATGCATTAAATGATTTCAACCAATCATTGGAGATTGAACCAAACAATGCCTTTGTATTGGAAAATAGAGGAGCTGTCTATCGAAATCTTAAACAGTATGACAATGCATTAAATGATTTGAACAAATCATTGGAGATTGAACCAAATAATTCCTTTGCCTTGGGAAATAGAGGAGCTGTCTATCAAAATCTTAAACAGTATGACAATGCACTAAATGATTTGAACAAATCATTGGATATTGAACCAAATAATACATGGGTATTGAGGGAAAGGGGAGCTGTCTATATGGATCTCAAACAGGATGACAATGCATTAAATGACTTGAACAAATCATTGGAGATTGAACCAAATAATGCCTTTGCATTGGAAAATAGAGGAGCTGTCTATATGGATCTAAAACAATATGACAATGCATTAAATGATTTTAACAAATCATTGGAGATTGAACCAAATAATGCCTTTGTCTTGAAAAATAGAGGAGCTGTCTATCTAAAACTAAACCAGTATGACAATGCATTAAATGATTTCAACAAATCATTGGAGATTGAACCAAATAATACATGGGCATTGAGGGGAAGGGGAGCTGTCTATATGGATCTAAAACTGAATGACAATGCATTAAGTGATTTCAACAAATCATTGGAGATTGAACCAAATAATGCAGATGCATTGAGGGGAAGGGGAACTGCATATCTTAATCTAGAGCAATATGACAATGCATTAAATGATTTCAACAAATCATTGGAGATTGAACCAAATAATGCCTTTGCATTGGGAAATAGAGGAATTGTCTATCTAGATTTAAAACAGCATGGCAATGCATTAAATGATTTCAACAAATCATTGGATATTGAACCAAATGATGCATATGTATTGAGACATAGAGGAGCTGTCTATTTAGGTCTAAAACAGTATGACAATGCATTAAATGATTTCAATAAATCATTGGATATTGAACCAAATAATGTCTTTGCATTGAGAAATAGAGGAGCTGTCTATCTAGATCTAAAACAGCATGACAATGCATTAAATGATTTCAACAAATCATTGGATATTGAACCAAATAATGCATTTGCATTGAGAAATAGAGGAGCTGTCTATCTAGATCTAAAACAGTATAACAATGCATTAAATGATTTCAACAAATCATTGGAGATTGAACCAAATGATGCTTCCACATTAGGAAATAGAGGAGCTGTCTATCTTATGACATTGCATTAAATGGTTTCAGTAGATTGAACCAAATGATGCATGGGCATTGAGCAGAAGGGGAACTGCTTATCTAGGTATTAAACTGACAATGCATTAAATGATTTGAACAAATCATTGAAGATTGAACCAAATAATGCATATGCATTGAGAAATAGAGGAGCTGTCTATCTAGATCTAAAACAGTATGACAATGCATTAAATGATTTCAACAAATCATTGGAGATTAAACCAAATAATGCATATGCATTGGAAAATGGAGCTGTCTATCTAGATCTAATGCAGTATAACAATGCATTAAATGATTTCATGTGTGGTGACGACGGTAGATGACGTATATTCCTCCGGTGCGCAGCCCCGATTGTGATACAAGGATTAGCAAATCAAAGTTACACTTTTATTAAGTGCCAGATTTGAAATACAATCTGGCACTTGGACGTCGTACTATTAATAACAGTCATACAAATAATTAGTTGTTAGATTTATTTGGCAGTTAGCACACGCAGCAAATTTGGGAGAATGTTGGCACTTCGAAAAGTTATTTAAGCGACTTAGTTATTATTTTCTTATCAATAAACGAGTAGTTCCTTATACTCTGAAAATAAACGATCATTATTTATTCTCTAGTACAGGCGATATGGGAGGCAATCATTTCATCGACAATCATTTCGCCGACAAATATTCACCAACATTATTTCGAAGTTATCCTTTTTTTGGTAGTTAATTGTCTGTGAAATGTACTGTCGGTGAAATAATTGTCGATGAATAATACGGACCCGGAGATATAGTTAGAAACCGTTAATCCCTATATCGTTAGGGGTATTTTCCTCTTGTTCCGCTTATACTCTCGTGGCAAATTACGATAAATATTCAACGCGTTGAGATATACGAAACCCCGTGACGGCAGATCACCGGAATTAATCCCGCTAGTACATAGTCGACAGTACATATTTGAACAGCGACGTAATTAACGTCTATAAGACGAGTAGTATTTAGACGTTCTAGTACTAAGTTATTAACTGTTATTATATTTAACTGGGCGAGTAGGAGTAGCCACGCCTCCGTGGAAAGGTAGTTAAATCCCAAGTGTCGATAGTAATAGTTATCCGCTCTCCGTGACCGTCATCACGACAAATGATTTCTGGAGATTGAAACCAACATGGGAATTGAGAAATAGAGGTTATCTGAATCTTAAACAGCATGACAATTGGTTGAACCAAATAATGCTTATGCATGGAGATGTAGTGAGCTATCTATCTAGATCTAAAACAGTATTAGTATGGTAATTTATTAATTAATTTCAACACGTTAATAATGGAGGAGTTGTATACCGCAGTTAG